CGTGTATCCTACGTTGTCAACCGTGGAAATTTGATTGTGGAGTATCCGGGGACGGTACCTGGAAAAGTAGTGTCGTTCGTCGGAAGTCACATGGATGTCGTCACCGCTGATCCTGGCGCTTGGGTATGGTTTTTCATCACAAATCTCCTTATACTTTTTTTTTTTTTAATGTTTTTCTTTAACTCCTCTACATTTGTACTGGTATCTGCAACTTCTGTGCCCCATTTGGCTTGTGTACTGTGTGATAAAGTTTGTGTATGAACTCATTTCCGAATTAATTGATAATTTGATTTGAAGTTGCCCCTGTTGTTCATAATTTATCAATCTTGTTCTGTCCTATGTTTTTTTTAATCTTCAATCTATTGCTTGCCTGATTCAGTTCATTTTCCTGCTTGTGTTCTCATCAAACGGCAGTCCAATTTTATTTTTAAGCTAGGGTACTTGTACCGTTGAATTTCTTGAATGAATTTTGGCTTTTGTGTCATTCATCAGAAGCTGAATTTCTCGAATCCTGGAGTCGTTTTGGCAAGTTTATGGCCAGGATGCAGGTTGGGTTACATTTCATATACGCGTGGATATGCGATTCATATTAAAAAAAAAAAATTCATTGTTATATATGCAGGACTTTGATCCTTTCTCATTGAGCATTGAGGGGGATCAACTTCGGGGTCTTGGGACTACTGATTGCCTGGGACATGTTGCCCTTCTAACCGAACTCCTTAAGAAGCTTGCAGAAACAAAACTAAAGTTGAAGACCTCTGTTGTGGTTATATTTACTGCCGGTGAAGAGGATTCTACATTCCATGGAGTTGGAATATATCGACTTGTGAAAGATGGATATTTTGATAAGTTAAAAGGAGGGCCTCTGTAAGTGATTGCTTTTCTTTCCGAAGAAGATCTTGATATGAGTTATTTCATCTAGTCTACGATTTTAGCATTCTTGGTAAATAGCCACTATGGAGTATGAATTCATTTTTGCAAAGTGTATTTTTTTTAATGTTCCCTAATGACCACTAGGCTAATCTATGGTGGTAGATTTACTATGAGTTATCTTTCCAATTCCAAGTTTTGGAAACTTCCACGGTACATTGTAAAGTTGTGTATATCCAATTTCCTACATAGATATTGGATTGATACAGCTGATTCACAGCCTTGTATTGGTACTGGCGGTGTGATATCCTGGACACTTATAGCAACTGGAAAACTTTTTCACGGTGGTTTCCCACACAAGGTAAATCGATATATATTATGTTTTGTGTGATAGCGTGTATGCACTTTGTTAACAAAAAGTGAATCTTATTCTGGCATTTTGAAGGAGAAATCAGTGGTTCAAAAGATTTTGGTTGTTGAATTGATAAAACTGCGCGTATTTGAGATCTTTCTATTGTGATGTGGAAGCTTCTCTATTGGTAGGATTGTAGTTTTGTACAAGTGTCCGGATCTTAAATTGAAATCCTTCCTTCAAGATTTTCATTAATGAAGTCACCTACCTTAGGAATTAGTAATTCTGATGTGTTTCCCGACACCAAATGTTGTAGGGTCAGACGGTTGCCCCGTGAAATTAGTCGAGGTGTGCGTAAGCTGGCCTAGACACTCACGAATATCAAAAAAATAAATAAATAAATAAATAAATAATGAAGTCACAAGGTTATTACTTGATCTTAAATTGAAATCCTTCCTTCAAGATTTTCATTAATGAAGTCACCTACCTTAGGAATTAGTAATTCCTATGTGTTTCCCGACACCAAATGTTGTAGGGTCAGACGGTTGCCCTGTGAGATTAGTCGAGGTCTCCGTAACCTGGCCCGGACACTCACGGATATCCAAAAAAAAAAAATAAATAAATAAATAATGAAGTCATAAGGTTATTACAACCAGGGTGTAAGTCCCTTTGCATTAGAAACTTGATCGGTAAACTTTTATTTGAATATAAGTGGTAAGGACTACTAGAAAGCAAGGCTTTGCTAGATGTACCTTGCATTTGAGACTACCTTGATAATGTGTCCATTAGTAATAGTGCATAATTTAGCGAACAAAATTTAGTTGATTGAAGTGTTCATATCTAAAAACATAAACTTGAATATTTATATACATGACTTTTTGTCCATTGATTAAATTATGCTTTAGCTCAAGACGACATATGTGCCTATCAATTTTTTATGTAGACTATTAATCCTATAGAGCTAGCCATTTTGCTTTAACGAAGATTTTCCTCCTCATCCCAAGGAAAAGGTATATGGATTTGTGACACCATCAACCATGATACCAACAGATTTCTCTAGTAAGTTCTGAGCCTCTATTCATTAATTTTAGGTAGAGAAATATGGTTTTTTAATCATGATCATTTCTTTATCTTAGCTATAGGAAGTGGTCCCAATCAAATTCCAAACCAATGTATTGTTGATGGAGTTGTCAGGTTATTACAAGTTTGAGCCTTTTTATTATTTTAGCATTTAGCATAGAATTGACATTTAATATCATTGTGAGATAGTGTCTTCCTTACTATTACTTATATATTTTGTTTTGGTTTCACTTGACAGGTTAACTCCCTTCTACAAGTAAGTAGTGTACTTCTTTTCCTAGTCAAGCAACATTACTCAGCAACCAAACTACATGCTTATTAAATAAGTTTTATAGTTTTCCTTCGTTTGTTGGGCAATATTAGAATTACCAAACACTTTATGGATGTAGTCATTTATATGTTAATACTTTTCTTCTAGTATGGACGATGTTGTAACAAAAGTCAAAAGCTATGTTGATTACATTAATGCAAACGTTGAGAAACTTGAAACGAGTGGTCCAGTTTCAAAGTACGTCCTACCAGATGAAGGCCTTAGGGGAAGGTATTTTCTCTTCCTCTATTACTTCATAACTTCCAAGGAATATGAGCATAATAATTCACATCATGAATCCCTCTCTCCCCAAGAAGAATGATGTTTTATTCAATCAAATTCTTACAATTTTTTTGTTGAAAAATAAAATAGATTACATTTTCTTTTTCGAATAATTGAAAAATAGAATACTAATGCATTGAGTTTGATGTAGAAAATTATGTATAAAATGCATTTCAGATGAACTAGTTTATTACTGCAAGCCATGCAAAATTAGTATATACTTTATATTTATAATATGTTTATTGTATATTGTATATTGCAGGTGACATTTATTTTTATGGGTTTTTTTTTTGGGTGCAGTATTGAGATAATGATGCATGAGGATGGGGATGAGGCCCCGAGATCAGGAGTTGCATGTGATCTTGATTCTCGTGGATATCAAGTTCTATATAAGGCAACAGAGGAAGTTTTGGGGTATGTTAAACCTTACTCTTTTACAGCGGCTTTGCCACTTATTCGACATCTTCAGGTAATCACGACCTCATTGCTCCATTGCTCTGCTGGTGTTTATTGTTTTCATCTGGTTTTCTCATCTTCTTGATATTATTATTATTTGTAGGATCAGGGTTATGATGTTCAGGCTGTTGGGTATGGTATGATTTTGTTGACAAGCCTTTGTTACATAAAAAGCATAACTAAATTTTCTCTTGGTTTTACTATAAATTCTGCTGTTGGGGTTGGAAATTTCCCATTAATGCATTTCCCTGATTGGAACGTGTACAACTCGTCCATGTTAGAAAGTTAGGAGATTCTACTCATCGATTGTTCAAAGCCATAAACAGAGTAATGTTTTCTCTATAGATTGCACGATTACGATGATCTGATTTACACTTCAATTATTTGCAGGTTTATTGGACGTATACCATGCCAAGAATGAGTGTTGTCTTTTTAAAGATATGAGCAATGGCTATAAGGTTTTTGCCAGCATCATCTCTCAATTAGAAGAGATGAATTCGTGACGGGGAAGTTTTTTGGAGCATTATTTTTTTGAATAAGTTCGGGGTGATTTTATTTTGAAAATAAGTTTCAAAAATTAACAACAAAAATTAAGAAAAAAACGTCCATGGGTTAATCACATCAATTAAAACAATACTTTTAGTCTGTAAAAAAGAAGTCGATATTTTGATTTTTACAAGATCAATTAGAACCGGTAGAAAGAATAAACAGGAAGTGAGAACATAAATTCTCTCTTCTATAGCATAATACTTATTGAATTTTTGGTCAATAGACATTTTGGTCCTCATGGATCTAATGATTTAGTTGATAGTATTTTAATTTGTAATGATTTAATTCATGTACTTCTAAATTGATAATAATTTAGTCCTAGATATTTTAATATGAAATAATTTAGTCCTTATAGTTTAAAGTTCGTAATGATTTAGTTCATATTATGAAATTTTTTGTTAAGCTTTTTATATATGTAGATCAATAACTCGATGAGGGACAATATGTGTTTATAAACTAAAAAGACTAAATTATTATATGACAAAAATTAACATTTAATTTTGATTAGACTTTTCACGGTGGGGATAAAATTGTTGCAAATTTTAAACTGCATGGATTAAATGTGCTTGATTCTTAATACCTTGGACTAAATCATTAACACATAGATATTGTTTTTTAACCATTTTTTAAAAAGTTTATATTTATAATTGCTTCAACAACTTATAATTAGTGACTTTAAGAAAAAGTTTCTTCCTTCCCAGTCTCTTCTTTTATACCAAGTATATACTTTATCTGACAAAGTACTTTTATTTTAAATTACGTGTATTGAATTTGATATCAGATTTTGTGAAATACAATGGCAATTACTAAAAATGAAATTTTATGCAAAGTTCAAAGATAAAACAGAATATTTGCGATAAAAAAAAAACAGAATATTTAAAAGAATACAAACAAATAAAATAAGCAACATTTCAAGTTTGTATAATAATAAAAACAATGTAAATCAAAGGCTTATAAATCAAAACAAAAGTTTAGGTCTAATGATAATATAATTCATAATTGGAAATTTTATCTTTAATAATCACATCAATCGAATTCTATGGTCTTTTGTCGAGTATTAGGTTTGTATAAATTCGGATTCATATTTGCTAATCCTATAAACAATTCTAAGTACACACAAATTCAATTTATAAAAAACGCAACTTTTATACCATGTATACTTATTTTTATAAATTATAAACTCACAACCCCAAATAATTGTAATATAAATTTAAAATTGTATACAATAAGTGTCTAAAATTTAATGTAATAGGTTAAATGTTAGTATTGAGAAAGGATTTAAATTTTCTAATGGAAATGAAAACTAACCATATGGATAGAAATAATAACTAAATTAAATATTTGACAACTAAGAGAGAAATGCAAAAACATAGATTTCTTTTAAATAATAATGAGTCGTCAAATATTTAATTGCGAGAAATCTCCTCAATAGGAGACGAGTATTTTTCAGCAACGATTTAAAAGGAAGTTGGACTTCCAATGAGGTTCCATGGCATGTTTTTCGCCTTCCATGTTTTTTCAAATTTTTTATTTTATTTTTTCTTGTGAAATTTTTAAGTGTGTATATATATATTTTCAATTTATATGTTTCTATTACATGTAATGATATTCTTTTTTATAAATTGGACATATATTTTTACTCATTTTTTCATAAAATATAAATTTTCTTGTGGATCTATGTTTTAACTTATATATTTAGAATAGTCAAAATACTAATAAAATAAATAATATTTTTGTTGTAAAATAATAAAAGACGACACAAATATATATGTATTAAAAATATTTTACACGTAAGTTATACTTATTATATGTGATGTTTTTCCTATAAATTTGACTGTTTTTTTTTTCTTATAAAATATATTTTTGTTGTTAGAGATGTAGGTATGCATGCAAATTTAAATTTATAATTTTACTTATATATTTAAAACGGTTAAACTACAAATAAAATAAATAATATTTTGTTTGTAAAATATAAATATTTTAAGAAAATCTGGTACGTTGTCATAGAAATATTTGCGTAAATGACTTCTATAAAAAGAAATCACGTATAATGTACCTGATTTCTCATGCTGATTTAGTCGTCAATATTCACCTCACACATGACGTATTGGTACTTAGATCACATCTATTTTACGCGATTTTTTACTCAGACCAACACCTAATTTATATTTATTAATAGTTTGGATATACTTTTTTATTTAAAACATATTTATTTTGTTATTAATTCTAAATTTTTGTTATTTTTTGTAATTTATTTTTAAATTTGCAATATTCTTAAAATTACCCATATGAGATGAGATAAAATTTATTTATTTATAATAACAATAGGGCTTATTAGTAAACATTGTCCAATTGTCTAATTGTATAATGACTAAATTGATACCATGTTTAAGGAAAAATTTTGTAAACTATTTTTAAGTAGGTAAACTAAAGAGTTAAAATGTTACGTTTGTATTAATTCCTTAAAAATCGAATGTAAATTGATTTGTCAATCTCAACCTAGTCTTAAGGTATCTATCTCTAACTAAAAATTGTGAATTAGAATTTTCACTCTATATATTGTATTAAAAAAGAAATTTATTTTATTTAAGAAGATTATCAATTTACTATGCACCCATAGACATCAATATGACACCAATTTGAGTATAGTTTATTGAATAAAGACACTGATTCTAGTGATATTTATCATCGTCCTATAATTTGGTGGGACAATATTCATTCTAGATCTCGAACTTTGACGGAGCATGCTTGGAATTTATTTTCATAATTGGGTAGTTTTATTTTCTACACTTGTTTTATTTTTTATTTTGTTGTCATCATTCTTGTTCACATTTGTGCTGYATTTTTACCGTCGGACTTCTTCGATTCTACGGTGCATTAATTTTATACTGTAAGATCAATTTTTTTCCTTACAATATACGWAACCTTTGTACTTTTTTTACAGCATACACAACCAGCTTTGTAAAATAATAATAATAATAAATAAATAAAAATAAAAACATTATTTACAATCTCAAATATGGATCCCAACTCGACCATGTTGAACTACAAAATTTTAATATGATTTTTATATTTTATACTTTTTAGAATATAACACATAGAAGGATATTGATGTCTTAATGTATTCAACTATGCTGATGACCTTAACTTAATGATAATTAACACACGTCTTTGTTCAGAAATGATAAGTTTGAATCTCCAATCCCCACTTGTTTGTACTAGTGTATTACCACGTGCAACGCACGTAAATTTTTTTTAATTCTAAGGTAATTTAAATTTTATATAATTTCACGTAAAATATTTTAAGTATAATTATTTTTAAAAATAATTAAGATTAATTTTTATATATATTTATTATTATTGACAGCTAATTACTAATAATAAAATGTACTATTTATAGTTATTTTTTAAATATACTATTTATAATTAATTGTTAATGATATATTTTGTAAATAAATAAATTAAAAGTAAAGGAAAAAATTATATATTAATAAAAAAGTAAATAGGTATTTTAATATTTTTATTTTTAAATTATTTCAACCTAATATGGCTCCTTTATTTTATTTTTTTAATATTTTGTTTGTTTATTAAATATTTGTTTAGAGCTGATATTTTGTTATAAATATAAATTATTTTATTGATTTAATTTTATATTATAATTAAAATTATTAAAGAAAAATTCTTCAAATTATATTATTAGAAAATAAAATGACCAAAAGTTTATATTCCACCTTTTAAGATTCTATACAAATTATTGTTTATAATTAATTTATTAATTAAACATTTTTTTATGTATTGACTTCTATGATTGTTTTTTTTTTCAACAATAAGAACATGAGTTAGCTTGTAATTATCTATATTTTAAACAAATATTCTAAATAAAATTGCTCAAAAAAGAAACATTCCAAATAAAAAAAGTACACTAAACAATAAAAAAACATTAGTAACAAAAAGAAAAATCCAAATCCTAAACTAAATAAAATTGCTAAAAAAAAGAAACATTCCAAATAAAAAACACACTAATTAGAAAAATAACAATCGTAACAAAAAAAAATCCAAATAATTACTATACACTCATCTTTAGAGTAAATATGCTCATTCTTGAAGATTGCTTGACATATACTATTATTCAACTTTGTACAAATCTAGTATTCGAGATATGTAGATTCAATATATGCCTCCCTTGCAACTTGATGAATATGTYACAAATATCTCGAGATGTTTTHAWGATTGAATCATATTTGAGAGATGTTTGAAGGAACTAAGAATAAAAAAATATTGAAACTTGTGAAAAACATGTAGAAGAAAGCCTATTTTTATAGTAGTAGAGGATAAAACGTTACAAAAGCTTTTCAAATTCTAAAACTCTTGAAATTCTAGTATGAATTTTAATTAAAGAAAAAATTAATTTTATTTATATTCCATGTATTTATAGTATGGATAATTAATAATTAATTTAATATTTGTAATAATTGATATAATTTGTAATTTGTAAATTTAGTAAAAGGTAAAAGTGTCCAAAAATGTTTTTCCTGCGTCCTACCTTTTTAATATAGCATAGATATAGATTAAAAAAAACTATGCTCAATATGATTTATGCATTGAAAATGGGATAAAATAAGTATAATATTTAAATATAAAAAAAGTTTCATTTTACACAATAAAAAAGTTAGCAAATTGATGAAATTTAGAGAATAGGGCAAAATTTTGATTTTAAGTCTGAGCGGTTTCTGTGTTGTTCGAAGCAGATTTATCAGTTATGGCTTATAGTTCTTCCATCAAAGAGATTCTGGGTGAACTGAAGAAGGAGTCGTACATCCCTTTACTTTCGAAGCTAATCGGCGAGTCCAAGTTCGTCCAGAACAATCCACCGGAGGACCTGATTCCTGAAGAGGACAGGATCGTTAATCACGTTATCGAAGTTCTCGATCCTCACAGTTCGAGGAATGGCGGACCGTTGGTGATAAACCATGTGAGCCACGTTCCTGRCCGTGGAAGTCTGATCGTGGAGTATCCGGGCACTGTGCCTGGAAAAGTAGTTTCATTCGTCGGAAGTCACATGGACGTCGTCCCTGCTGATCCTGCCACTTGGGTATTGTTTTTTCCATCTTGAATCTCCTTACCATTCTTTTAGGGTTTATGTAACTCCTCTCTACGTTTATTGCAACTTCAACTTCAACTTCAGTCCTCTACTGTGTCTAATGAAGTTTAAACTCATTTAGGGATCAATAGCGAATTTGATTGAAGTTGCCCCTGTTGTTCATAGTTTATCATAGTTCTTTTATCTTCAACCTATTGCTTGCCTTTTAGGATATCTTAAAAGGCTAAATATATATGACAGATACTTGTAGTAGAAATAGACCCATGAAAATGCACCATTTCAGAAAGTTATACTGACCGGGTGTGTAGGAAAGTATTTGTCCCATATATATTTTAATCCTTTTAACGTTTGAATGTCTTTTCAGTTTAGTATACCCTTTTCGTCCGTGGATGTTGAATGTGGCTGTTTAGGGAAACTTAGTTGTTATGAATTTAGTGGGTTGGCATCCATTTGGAGTAGGAATTAAGCCAGGTAGGATAGGAAAAGTCGAAATTTCTGCTAAATTTGGAGGAAGAACTAGAAAATTTCCTCTCTTAAATGGCTTAATTCATTTTCTAAATTGACGTCGATTCACTAAGTATCGTGTCCGGTTAATTTACTATCAGTTGTATTTAGCAACCACTAACAAAAAGGGTATAATTAGATTAAGGTTTAAATGTAAGGGACTAAATTGCTAGACTCCTGGCRTTGTTTTGCCAAAGGGTGTTTCTGTTTATGTAATTTAATGTCCAGGATTCAGGTTAACCCAAACAAAATTAAGGATTAGAATTCTATCTACTCGTGGATATGATATTCATATAAAAATCACTGTTATATGCAGAAATTTTGTCCTTTCTCATTGAGTGTTGAGGGGGATCAACTTCGGGGTCGTGGGACTACTGACTGCCTGGGACATGTTGCCCTTCTTACTGAACTCCTGAAGAAGCTTGCAGAAACAAAACTACAGTTGAAGTCCTCTATTGTTGTTATATTTATTGCCTCTGAAGAGAATAATTCAATCCCAGGCGTTGGAGTAGAACAACTTGCGGAAAAAGGATACTTTGATAAGTTAAAAGGAGGGCCTTTGTAAGTGATTCCTTTTCTTTCCCAATAAGATCTTGATRTGATATTTTTTTTGTTATTTGTTTGTGAGTGTTCGAGCCATCTTACACACACTTCAACTAATTTCTCAAGTTCTCTGCSTAGGGTTTTAATATTCTAAGCTGTGTATATTTCGTTTCCTACATAGATATTGGATTGATACAGCAGATTCACAACCTTGTATTGGTACTGGGGGTTCGATACCTTGGACACTTGTAATGAAAGGAAAACTTTTCCACAGTGGTTTGCCACACCAGGTAAAATGATATATATTGTATTTCGTGTGCCATTTAGTTAACTAAAAGTGAGGTTTTCTCTTGCATTTTGATGTAGAAATTTAGTAATTTAGAAAATTTTTAGTTGTTGAATCGATAAAACTGAAGGTTAGAATATGAAAGGACACATTTGAGATCTTTCTACCTATGATATGGAAGCTTCCTAATCTGTAGGATTGTAGTTTTATGCAAGTGTGAACTTAAATTTGAAATCCCATCCTGAATATTGATATTAATGAAGTTACAAGGTGTCAAACTAGGGGAAGCCCTTTTCCATTATAAACTTCACTAGTAAACTTTTACTTCAATATAAACCATAAGGACTACTGAAAGCAAAGGTTTCCATTTTTTTTTTTTATAATTTGAAATTTAAATTTGCCTTTGATTTTAGACTACCTAGATAACTTGCCCATTAATAATCGTGCATAATTGATCTAACAAAATTTAGTTGATGTKAGTGTTGTTCTCTAATAACATAAAACTTGAATGTTTATACTCATAATTTATGCCAATTGATTAATATTTTTTTAGCTMAAGGTGACACAATTGCCTATCTCTCTTGTATACAGGCTATTAATGCTATGGAGCTAGCTATGGAAGCTCTCAAAGTGATCCAATTGCGCTTTTACGAAGATTTTCCTCCTCATCCTAAGGAAAAGATATATGGATTTGCAACTCCATCAACCATGAAACCAACACAATGGAGTTGTAAGTTCTAAGCCTTCATTAGTTAATTTTGGGTAAAGAAAAATGTTTCTTCATCGTGATCATTTTTTCATCTCAGATCCAGGAGGTGGTAACAATCAAATTCCAGGAGAATGTACTATTTCAGGAGATATCAGGTTAATACAAGTTTGGGACTTTTTATGATTTTAGCTTAAAATTGTCATATAATAATATCCTTAGTTGGTGTCTTCCTTAATCTTACTTTTTTGGTTTCATTTGGCAGGTTAACTCCCTTCTACAAGTAAGTAGTCTCCTCCCTTTCCTAATCAAGCAACATTACTTGGCAACCAAACTACTTACTTATTACCATAGTTTTACATAAGCTTTTATATTATTTTTTTTTTCTTTTGTTGCTCAATATTGGAAATATTAGACACTTTTGTGGATTTAGTCTCTAATATATTCATGTTTTTTCTTCTTAGTGTGAAAGACGTTATTTCAAAAGTCCAAAGCTATGTTGATTATATTAATAAAAACATCGAGAAACTGGATACAAGGGGTCCAGTTTCAAAATATGTCCTACCAGATGGCTACAGGGGAAGGTGTTTTCTCTTTCTCTATCACTTTAACTTCCATGGCATATAAACATAACAATCCATTTCATGAATCCCCCTCCCCAAAAGGAATGATGTTTTATTCAATCAAATTCTAACAAATTTTTTCCGTCAAAAAAATAAAATACTAATACACTGAGTATGACGTAGAAAATCATGTAGGAAATGCATGTTGGATAAATAGTAAATTGCTTTTGACCTACGTGCATCTCCATTCATTTATAGCCACTGCTTTGTTCTTTGGAATATAAAATTTTAGTTTTTTTGCAGTATTGATATCCAATTTGGTAAGGCGATGTCAGGAGTCGCATGTGATCTTGAGTCTCGTGGCTATCAATTTTTATATAAGGCAACAGAGGAAGTTGTGGGACATGTCAAACCTTACTCAATTACAGGGAGTTTGCCACTTATTCGAGACCTTCAGGTGATTCACATGTCCATTTCTCTCCTCCTCCCCCGGCTGGTGTTTTTCGTTCCGATTTGGTTTTCTCATCTTCTTGTTATTTGTAGGATAATGGCTATGATGTTCAGACTGCAGGCTATGGTATGATATTTCTTACAACATGACAAGGTTTTGTTACATAAAGCATGGTTAACTTTCTCTTGATTTTACTTCTGAATGCTCATAATATACATTCAGCTGTTTCATTTGATAACCATTTTTTTTAGTTTTCTGTTTTTGAAATTTAAACTTATAAACAGTACTTGAACGTTCTCTAAATCTAAGCCAAGTTTTGAAAACTAAAACAAAGTAGTTTTTAAAAACTTGTTTTTGTTTTTTAAATTTGACTAAGAAGTCAAATATATCTTAAGAAAAGTGAAAACATGCCAAAGAAATTATATGAAAAAACAGGCCTAATTTTTAAATTTAGAGAATTAAAAACGAAATGGTTATCAAACGAGGTAGGGTTGTGGAGTGGACAAGTCTTTTAACTTGTCAAGTCCATTGGAACCATAAAATATAGAGAGATTTTATTTTAACCCTTTCGAGGAAATCTACATGGGCAAGCATAAAGGGAGTAATTTTGCAATTGCTTTATAGATTGCTGTTTTTGAAGTTCTTATTTAGGATGGAATGCTTTTATGCAGGTTTATTGGTTACATACCATGCAGATAATGAGTACTGTCTTTTTAAAGATATGGACAATGGCTACAAGGTTTTTGCTAGCATCATCTCTCAATTAGAAGAAGATTGTACTTAAAAAACTAATCTGTGATACTACTCTTACTATGGAGTAATAAATAAAACTTGTCTGCAGAGTTTTAAATAAAATTTGTCTGCAGAGTCTGCTTTGTACTCCTGAACGTTTTAATGAAATGCAATACATTTTGTTTTGTAATTGGTAATAAATGTTTTAGTTTTAGATCGTAAATTTACCTAATAATTTGTTAGTTGGAGATCAAGCTCAATCTAACCAAACCCTTGGTTCCAATTGATAATTGCTTTGTTTTAATAGAATCATACAAATGGACTCACATTTTTATGTTTTGATTGAAGTTATAATGCTAATGATACGTCTTAGTTAAAATATATCTAAAAGATTATATATATATATTAGTTCAATAAATATGGAGTAGTGGATAAATCAATAACTGTTTTATTCGTAGTTATGTTTAGATTAGTCTCACCATCCTATATTTATGATGTAATGTAAAGAAAAGAAATAAAATATAAATATAAATGATTATACATAAATATATTACATAAAATATCAATAAAAAGGACTAAGTAAATAAAACGCTAAGACAATGAAATAAAATGTATAGAAATCAAGTTTGTATTATAGGAAAATGGGGAGTCAATGGTGGTCAAGAAATTATTACATTGTAGCAGTTAAAAAGTAAATAAAAAAAGGAAAATTTTCATAAAACTTTCTTTCTTATGATAGTATATTTCAATCGCCGGTAATGTTTTGCATTTAGAAACCGAATCTTGTAACACATAATAATAAAGTGGTATTTCCTTCAATAAATCAGAGTGGCGCAGCGGAAGCGTGGTGGGCCCATAACCCACAGGTCCCAGGATCGAAACCTGGCTCTGATATAGAGTGGCTTCCGAATTTTTTTTTCCTCCATTCCTTTAAATTTTGCCCTTTTCCCCTTTTTTGACGAAAATTTCTTTCTCCTGCGATTCCATCCCTTCGAATTCCTCAATCTCCGGTGACGATGTCGGGTAATTTCAAAATTTCCTTTGTAATTTAGTTGTCGCATGGCCGGAAGAGCGTTAAAAAAAAAAAAACCAATGGGAGTTATTGGGGTTACTCTGTAATTGGGTTTTTGGTCTTCCAATCCATTTTATGGTTGATTTTTCATCTGATTGAAGTAAAAAACGGAAGCTCGATTTCGGTTCTGGAAGAATCTTATTTGGAAAAAGAAAATTTAGGGTTTCAAATTTGATGAAAGGACTGAAGCTGAGAACAAGGAAACTGCAATTGAATAACTACGAATAGTTGGAAACAGACATTTCGTAGTTATTGGGTCTGAATGTCTGTTTTTAATTTTTCGTTGATCCATTGCACAGTTCCCTCGTTTTCAATTTGCAACTAATTGGATGAAAATTTTCAGACCCAATTGCAGTTCGATGCAGTCTCAGTGATCCACTGCACAGTTTCATTTGATGCAGTACGAAATGTCTGTTTCCCAACTCCTCTTGCATATCATGCAAATTACTCTGAAAATAGAAAAATAAACGTTGTTACACAACTGTGATGAGTGATCTGTGTTGGACTTTAGCGAGCTGGTTAGGGAAGTTCTTTCTAGCGAACTGAAACATAGGGAGCTTGACAGGGAAGACCTTTCGATCGAGTTGATGTGGAGTGTGCTGAAGAAATGAGACATGCAAAAATAGGTAGAGTACTCCGACGCGCAAATTGGTCTGAATTCGAATTGGGCAGATCAGCTTCAGACAGAAATTCTATACTTGATTTAGTAGAATGAAAGTGTATTTACAGAGGTTTGAGAGGTAGTTACCCATTCCATCAACTGTAGAACTATTTTTCATGTGAGTGAACTACTATGTGCTCCTGACAGAACCGCATGACGTCAGAGTTTGTCCCGAAGAGTTTGACAATAGATGAGCTTAGGAGCTATTCTCTGGATAAGTTTAGGAGCTCAGCAGTGAAAAAGCTTAGGAGCTCTTTATTCATAAATGAGCTTAAGAGCTCGACCATATCTCTAGTTTATTACCATGGAAATAAAAAATGTATACCACATACTCAATACGATAATAATAAGTAACCATTTGTGAAATTTAACTAAATTTTAGAGGCGAAATTGAAACTAAACTTAAAATATAGGGACCAGATTGAAATTATGCCCGGACAAGAGGGGTACTAAATTCTTAATTTACCCCATTTTTTATTTTTTCTTTATTAGCAAGAGTTTTTATTTAAAACGTACCTCTTATAATTTTCACTGACCAAACCTCACAAATAATTGAATTTGAAAGGGACAGCTTAATTATGGCAAGGCTTTAATTTTTATACATCTTAGAGTTAAAGGAAAAATTGATGGTGCAATTGCAACAACTATCCTACTCTAGAGGTGGTTTATGCAATTTTTCCTAAAACAAATAATTGATGAATGTCCACACTACCATTTAATATTTGACAACTCATCATTTTTTAAAAACAGTTTTTATTTTTACATTTCTCTTTCTTAGTTGTCAAATATTTAATAGTAGAATGGATAAGATTCCTCCTTACTAGTCGAGGGGCTAAGTATTTTCGATTTAATATTGTCAAAAAATAATGATAACTGGGGAATTATCCGTTCCGTGCCGTTTATTTTTATTTTTTTTCAAATTTTTAAAACTCGTAGCTGTTATATTTGTGCCTATATATAATGCGTTTGAGCGGTTTCTTGTTTCCAAATCTCTCTCTGTTGTTCGAAGCACAGCCATGGGTTCCTCTCCTTCCATTAAAGACATTCTCGGTGAACTGGAGAAGGACTCGTACATCCCTTTACTGTCGAAGCTCATCGGCGAGTCCAGGTACGTCCAAAACAATCCACCGGACCTGATTCCTGAAGAGGATAAGGTCATCAATCACGTTCTTGACATTCTCCTTCCTCTCCGCTTCGATAATGGCGGACCCTTGGAGATCTACCATGTGAGCTACTCTCCGGGCCGTGGAAATTTGATTGTGAAGTATCCGGGCACTGAACCTAATAGACTAGTTTCCTTCGTCGGAAGTCACTTGGACGTGGTCACTGCTGATGACAAGGACCCCGTTTGGGTACTGTTTTTCATTTTAATCCTAATAAGTTTTTCGTGACTCCTCTCCGTTTATACTGCTTCTGCAACTTCATTTCGTATGAAGTTTGTGTATGAGCTCATTTAGGGATTGTTTGAGAAATTGATTTGAA